AATTCCAACAGACAAATCAGTCATATAAATTCCAAAACATATCAGTCGGTATGCCAAACACATGGATTATACTACCGGTATGAGGATTTGCATCAAATTACATATCTATAACACACTGTATGATTGTAAATTATAGAAAGTGGCTACTAACCGGGAAATACCAACGAATATGCCGCAATAACGCATCCCGGATGCTGCGCATGAATAACAGATTGCCCACTGTATTGGACAAGTGAATGCCGTCGTTGGTGTAAATATGTTGCCTTGGTTGCCACAACCCAGCTCGATGTCGCCAAAAACTCACATCAAAATTAGCCGCATGGCATAGTTCCATCAAATGTAAATTAGTGGATTTAATTGCATTATTAAATCCCTCGAACGGCTCAATAAATCTTGGTAACAGCTGGCTGATAATTACACATTTGGGGTGATGGCGAGTCATAAGCAAAGCGGCAAAATTTAAAACAGCGGAGGCTACTTCATATGGCAAAGACTCGGGTGATTCAATATCGTTCGAACCTAAATGTAAATAAATGATGTCTGCCTGTCTAAATTTGCTGCTCTCTGCCGCCCGAACCAGTCGTCCATGCGGGTCACTTCGGACTCGCAACCCGCCATGACCCCAACAACGAACTTGGCACAAATTCCCATCCAAATCTAAATTTGAATGTCTGTAAGTAGTTAAAAAAGTATTTAAACGCTTGATATACGATGTACCATAAATCACTATTTTAAGTGGGCTGGACAATACCCGATGTTCAATATGAATGTGTTTATTAACTGTAAACAAAGCGTCAGGCTTAACCGATGTGGCCGTATCACACGCCATGATGGATTCCAAAACGAGGCAGCCACAATAGATAAAGAAAACGATTCTAAAATCCTATTTGTTCGATTACGTTACGAAACACATCGAAAACGCTTTAACAACATAAATCTAAAACGTGCAGAACTCACGATCAGCATAAACAAGCACTAATACACCACTAATACACCAACCACACACTGTATTATTAGAATATATTGTTACAATTTACACATAACTTGTCTGCCTCGAAAATCTTTCTGTTATGAAGAGCGGGAATAAAAAGCGGGAAACTAACTCATTTGCATAAGGTGTATACAAAGAACATACAAGGACTGCACATGGTATGTCCAAACAACAGACGAGGAAAGACTACAACACAAAGATCATTATTAACATAATGTTTATTTTCATCAAACATCTTTTCCAATTTACGTTTTGGGGTATGTCTGAAACTTTTAGAAACAGCTCCACCAATCAAACACTTAGCCAGAGAATGACGAAATTCTAGTTGAGTCATGGGGGTTACCCAGTGTTTTCTTGTGAAGCTTATAAATCAAAAAGCTGTTTACACATGCCACATTTAGTAAAAAGTAAAACAAATATCGCCACCATTTGAGACTAGTATGACCGAAAGAATAGTATTGGCAGAGTACTTGGGTTCTTTTTTTCATACACGTCATTTTCAACTTCCAGAACAAATAGAATATTGTTTAAATAAAAAAAAATGTATTAATGTGAGCACCCTACAAAGTTGTAGCACAAAGCCAAAGCTCCGTGTAGAGGCAGCTGGAGACCTAGACGAACGCACCCAGCCTGTGATCATGATAACAGGAGTATAACACCATAGATTGAAAAGGAGACTCGACTAACTGTAATACACCATATACATATCTTTATTCATTGTCTCTTTAATGCTTCATGACATCGGACGAGGATATCATCGTATAAACATTGGAAATAGCCTAACGTAGAATATCATACATGATGAACGCAAACAACTTAGACTCGAACTTCCAGACTTGAATTAAAAGACATGCCGGTAACACAGACGTGAAAACTGAAAAATACAAATTAATACAGTTTAACACAACGCAAAACCTGGTTCTGGAGGGGGTAATCTATTAAAGTTAGCCTGATCTGTCAAAATACGAACCAAGTCACTGGCAGGTACATGTACAGCGGAAGACACTTGGGCAGGAGCGGACTGTGACGCATGAGAGTGATCAGCATTGTTCATAGGTGGGGTATTATTATATACATCACTAACTGGAATTTGGGGCGGCGGTAAAGACACCAAAGGTGAACTGGCAGGAATGACAGGTTTACTTATCGAACTCACAGGGTTAATAGGGTTAACTGCAGGAGACAAGTGAGGCGGATCACCATAATCTGTAGAAAATTTATGACTATTCACAAAGGTTGCGACAAGTTCTGACTTATTTTGTTCACATACTGGTACCATGGATTCAACTTTAAAATCTTCATTTTCAAATCTTCGAAGAGCATTCACCTTTGCATTCGCAATATCCAAATCTTTACGTAGCTGAATATTTTCAAGTTCTAATTTCTTTTCGGCTTCTATGGAATGATACTTTAATTTCTGTTCAATAACAGCTGCTTCCTCGGCTGCTTGAATTAACTTCAATGAAATAACAGACGATCTTTTCGCTGATCTTGATTTAACAGAACCGTATGCACTCTGATCAGTAGGATCAACTGGATCACTCGCAGACGTAGCCATTGTAAACAATGCGCAAACGAAAAAATATAATGTCCTCTTCATCAATACTGCCGCAATTTTTATAACAGTTCAAATAATACTAAGGACGCACTAATGTCAGAAAACTTCAAAGTTGACTTACATATTTACCGCATAAAGTTCCTTTCATTCCATTCGAAAGGTGTTCGAACTCCGTGCAGAGGAGTTTTCACTGTACAGGCAGCTGGAGACCCAGACGAACGCACCCAGCCTGTGATCATGATAACAGGAGTATAACACCATAGATTGAAAAGGAGACTCGACTAACTGTAATACACCATATACATATCTTTATTCATTGTCTCTTTAATGCTTCATGACATCGGACGAGGATATCATCGTATAAACATTGGAAATAGCCTAACGTAGAATATCATACAATCATGATGAACGCAAACAACTTAGACTCGAACTTCCAGACTTGAATTAAAAGACATGCCGGTAACACAGACGTGAAAACTGAAAAATACAAATTAATACAGTTTAACACAACGCAAAACCTAGCAGGACAAATAAATGAATACTACATTAAACGAAATATGACATACAAATGCAATATTACAGAATTATTTACCTCCAAGAGCCTGTTAACTTGACCACACGCAAAAACGAAAAAACATGGTTTCTAGGAAAGCCATTTGCAAGACTGACACAGGGAGCATTAATTACGCAGGGATATTAAACAATTTAACAATCAATGCTTTAGGTTACTATTTTACGAAGCGTAGCGCAGCCTGGAAGTTTATAACGTAATAAATTAATATACATAAAAAACATACATCAAAAAACATTACAACAGTCCAGAGAGTTCATATTATTAGACAATAACAATAACCTATCCCTTAAACTAAAAGCTCTTCTATCATATTAACTTAAGGCTGTTCCAACGTACAAACTGACCCGATTTATGAATCGGTTACACGCGTCAATAGTATACACTACTGCTATGCAAGCATGGCATCTGAATTCTAAAGCGTCAGTGTTTATCAAATCGTACAAAAAATGATAATGAGATAATATTAAAAAAAAATAATGATTAGAAAAGTTAAACTCGGAATTAATTTCTGAATTGGCTATAACTTGAGTATTGCTTGGTTCCTCTGTGGTGGTGTGTTCTTCACCATAAAGTCTGTGTCAAAATGTGGTAGATGTGGTAGGGTTTCCTTACATATGGTAGACGGCATAGACGCCATCTTCTAGGTTGACTACATATAAATCTGTATCCATTTATAAAAAAAAATCCATTCATACTACTTCAATTGAATGAATCCATCTGTCGACTTGTTTTAAACTGGTAAAATAATCTGCAATGAACACGCCAAAGTCTGTGTAGATAATCTGAAGTATTTATCCTAACTTAAATAAACATGCACTTGTAAAAAAGAAAAAAAGGATTAATAATCCCAGAGATTATTTACAATATTTAGTATTGATAGGCTGAATGTCCTGTTTCAACAAAAAGATGTACAAAATACAATAATTTAAAAAAAAAGAATACATACATGTAATGATAATGACTGTAGAAATATTAGTGAATTTTACAAAGAATAGTTTGTAAATTGTGAAAGAGAGCACTTCTTTTGACTTTTGAAGGTGTTTAGAAAGCCTTGTATTCTTTTTCGGAATCGGGTGTTTTCTCTTTGTTCTTAGCGTCAGAAGATGACGAAATATTTTCAACTTCCATGGGTTTTTTTCTTGGCTCAGTCGGAGCAGAATAGTAGGACGTTAAACCCCATTTCATTTCATTTTTTTTTTTGGTGTACAATGTACCTGTTGAGACCTATCAAAGATTTTATTACTTTCATGTTTATTTTAAAGCAAGAAAAATCAACAGCATATTTTTCATTCCTTTTACAAATATCATTTGTAGTATTGTACGTCAGTAGTAATATTTACGTGTTAATTGCTGCAAAGTGTTATCTATCCTCACAAAGTCTGTTGAATGTACAGTATTGGAATTAACCCATTAGTTGCCACAAGTTTAATTAATGATTCCATAATATCAAACGCTTAAAATATACATTTGACCTAATAAATGACCTGTTTTGTTCATTCAACTATCATGAAAAAGCTATTGAAAATCATACATTACAACCAAGTGTTATTTTATAGCTAATAAATTTATCTTTCCAATGGTATGTAGTTTTTAGATCACAGAGGTATAAATCGTGACCATAAACCAATTTGAAAGTAATGGATATATAAATAAAAAAAAAAATTTTTTTTGAATTTTTCAAAAAAAAATTTTTTTTATATACGCCTATATATATATATTTTTTATCCTGTTTGCATGTATTCAAGACTTCAGACATACTTTTACCACTTATTAGAAATAACTACATGCATACAGGATAAAAAAAAAGATGCTAAAATAAAAAAACAAAAAATAATAGAGCATTTTTTTTATTTTATATTATCACTGATTGTCACAACTGTTCACATGTTTATCCAATTCACACTAGTTTTATTCTGTTCATATTATTCAAGTCAAGTCAAATTAGTTTTATTTTGGTCACATCATTGTTATTCACCTGACATTGTATTTTCAAATTCAAATTATTCCGTGAAATTTTACATAACAATCACCATCACGGCACAGATTTACTCGACAGTGCGAACACCCAAAACTTGATACCACACAGCGATCAGAGGCAGTTCTTTTCTTTTCTTTCAGGCACCATTGGCAGGCTCTCTTTCTTCCATCAAACCTAACAAGGTCATGTCCTGGCATTATGTTTCTCTCGATGACTTTCTGTATTTCTCTTCCTTCCCATGAACATTTACGTTTGCGAGAACTAAAATTGTCTGCTAACTGGTGGACTATTCTCAGTTTGAATGTCTTCAAGGACCACTTTCTCTTATTTTTTGGCAATGGCATCCTAGATGAGTACCACAAAATATAAGCGTTTACAACCGCTATATTTAGCAAGGCAAAAACCAGATACTTCCACCACTTCTTTCCAGCACGTCCAAGATTATAATAAGATCTGTACTGGTCAAGGTGATCTACACCTCCCATGTTCTTATTGTAATCTACCACCATGGTTGGTATCTGAATCATTTCATCTTGGCGATGGCGTGTTCTGGGCTTCTCGGTGTCCGAACCATCATTATTTGAGGAGACAAGATAAACATCCCGTTTGTCCTTCCACCTACAGAAGATAATATCCCTGTCAGTGGCCATCTTCACACTTTCACCAGGGGCGAGACGTGGTTCATCAATGGATTTAGGAAGGCCTTTACGATTCTTTCTTACTGTTCCACAATAGTATGTGTCAGCATCTTTTAGGTCTCTAACCAGGTCAAGCGAGGTAAAAAAGTTGTCGCAAAATAATTGGTGGTTGGATAAAATAAATTTCTCCATTAGGCCCATTACTACTTGGTAGGCAAGGCCTTTGTCAGGAGCATCATCATCTGATCTGCCAGTGTAGACGTCAAATTTTAGGCAATAGCCAGTACTTGCATCACATAAGCACCAAAGTTTCATTCCCCACTTTGTCGGTTTCTTGGGCATATACTGTTTCCACTTTATACGACCGTTGTATTTGATCATGGCTTCATCTATCGAGAGAGCTGGTCCAGGGCCGAATAATTTTGGGAATTTGTCTTGTAGTGTGTCAATAAATGGCCTGGCTTTACAAAGTTTGTCTTCTTTATTTTCATTGTTTGGATCTGTAATGTGTAAGTACCTACTCAAGGATTCATAGCGGCGACGAGACATCCGGGAACTTACATATTGATCACCCAATGCTGAATCATTCGACCAGTAATCTGCATACTCAGGAAGCTCTTTGATTCCCATTAGCATCATTATGGCAAAGTATGCCTTCATCTCGTCTGTTGTGGTAGGTGTCCAGTGCGAGTCGGAAGTCTTGAGAGGATCAGCAGGATCTGGGTTGTCTGGCGGACTCTGGTACACAGCATATAAGTTGGTCATATTCGCCACCTTCTCAAAAAAATCTTCACCAATACATGCAAGTAGGTAGTCAACTTCAAGGGCATCATAGGCCAGGTTGCATTTTGGCCCCCGATCTTCTCTGAAGGGTAAAATGTTTGGTGTTGGCATGTCATAAGACCATCCTTGGTCCAAGGGGGGTCTCTGGTTATCACCTCGAACTCTTCCTCTGCCACGGCCTCGACGACCCCTTGCTGCTGGACGACCCCTTGCTGCTGGACGACCTCTTGGTGCATTATCATCTTGTGGAGGCTGGTGAAATATCAGGTAGATCGGAGTCATTATCGGATACTGTTGGAGCAGCCCAGTCAAGATCACTATCAGTGTCTTCATCATCAATCTAAAAATATAAAAATATATTTGTTCTGTAAGTCAAGTTTTTATAACCACACACTATCAAGCTTTATAACATTTTTTGTAATCTTGTTTATGGTAAGCCTGAATAAATATTCTACTTGTAATGAGCATGGATAGTTGCAAACTGCAGTTTCAACAGTAGCCAATGTCTATTTTATTTTTTTAGGCTTACATCTATAATAAAACAAAATAGGAAAAAGTGGCAAGATCGAGGCGTCTAAAAACAATAGCCTATTGAAATAATTATTGTATTAGCCTCGGGGGAATATTGTCACGTGACACCAAAATAGCAATTTACCGTTAGTAGGTCTAGCCATTTGTAAACAAATGAAACAAAGTATATCTATGTCACTCACTTCATGACGTCTCTCACAACTTCAACAAATAAATTCTCAACATACGCACATTATTCCCCCAAAAATGATTAGTTTGAATAAAACAAACACATGAACCCCTTATGAATCCTCAGGACTAGACTGTCGACAAAGTTACAAACACGTTTCATAGAGAAAACGAAACAAATAAGTACGATTTTTGAAGATAAAAAAACCTACCTGCATAGAGATTTCTAAATCCGAATGGTCTGGATAACCATCAGATTCCTCGCCACTACTTTCTTCCAATTCTGAATCCGATTCCATCAAAAGACCCAATGCAGTCGTAACATCCATTCCTTTACTTGTGCTAGCCATTTTGAAACAGTGGAATGCAGGTAACAAGTAATGCAGGTCAGAGGAAAAAACCAGTTAGTCACATGACTACCGTTATCTTCCGGTATCAAAGTTCAAAGTTCACGCTTTGTTTACTCGGAAAAGTCAAATACAATGACCCGGTTTTCACACCTCGAGCGTGTCGGCACATATGTTAGCTATCAAAGGAGCCGTGAATCAATGATCTCAGTGCAGTATTTTTGATACAGCGGACAATATAAACACCCGGGCGTTGACGGACGTTCTGAGGAAATATAGTACGGACGTTGGCGGACGTTCTGCGTGCTATTGGGTTAATATTAATTCAGAATCAACTTCAATCCCAAAAATAGTCAAAGTTGTGACCGGTAACACCGTTTTGGAACTCTTTATAGGCCTAATTAAAATTTTGCTAACTGACATTTAGAAGAATTCGCAGGGCCCGCAAAGAAAAAGTCATCTATCATGTGACTCATGGCAGCCCCATATTTATTGGCCATGATCCAATGGAGGGATGTACTGAATTTTTCAAATGTCTGGCCACTCATGTTCAAACCCATAGGAAGACACATATCAGCAAAATAGAACAATTTTTCATTATGGCATACGGTGAACCCCAATAGTTCGTAATCGTCAGGATGAATGGGCAGCAAGCACTAGGCATCCTGAATATCATTGCCATTATTGCTCCCTGACCCATTTGCTTAACAATGAAGATGACGTCATCAATTGTATCGTAGGAAACAGTGGTAAATTCTTCGGAAATATGGGCGTTATCGAATTACTGTGAGGGAACGATAAATCGTGAATTAGCCTAAAGGCACCCTTCTCATGTTTTGGAACCACACCTAAGGGGGGAGCCAGAAAGGGACCCATGACTCGGTTATTAGCTAGCTGGTATAAAATGTCATAATTATCGAAGCAGGAGGAGTGATTTTTGGTTACAGACAGTTGTCTAGTGCCCGTATAGGGAATACGAAAACCATTTGTAAAGCCTTCAACTAAAAGGGACCGGTCTTGGGGGTCGTAGCCCTCAAATGCAATATAAGTTTAACGGGATTGACCGGTGTTGGCATTCTTGCTGAAGGAAAGACCACTTCTCGAAAGGAATAGTGGTTATTGACAGGAGGGACAGACGTGGCAGCTGTAGGTGGCGAAATAACAGCATGGTGTTTTACTGGGGGAGGCACTGGAGGGTTTACTGGCATTGACTGTGAGAGGAATTGTCCTGTGGGGTCAGATCCATATGTATTTTGTACCGAGGAGCGTCTTGCAGAGCAGGACATGATGGGATGTTTGTAATGGCATAGTCGGCATACATGCGGGTACTTACATAGTGGTCTACCACAACCCTTGGTGGAGATATAGTCGTAGCAAACCAATTTGGAAGGTGCACGAGGGTAAGGGCATACTTGAGAATCTGACCCAACATTTTTTGCGGCGTACGCCATACACAGTTGACGCTTTCAGCCACAACTCTGAATTGATTTGATTCCAGGGCATAGGCAGGGTGGATCGCAGAGATTGCAACTGGCTGTCGTAAAACTGTTTTAGTTTTGGTACCAACGTAATACGAAAAGTGGACGTATAGTTAACCTCCATGATATTGCGTGACATTCCGTTTGCTGTGTAACCTGGCATAAGTGTTGATAATTCAATGCACTTGTCAGACCAGATGTCGGACTTAATCTTGTGTGATATATGGCTTGAAATAGGAGCACATAAATTAGCAATGTTGGACATTGGTACCGCCTTGTTTGAATTACCTTGTCCTGGCGGGAATATGTCATTGGCCTGTATAGAGAATACAGACGGCCCTATGTCTGTCGGTGGTGATGAGTCTTGCGGCGGTTCTGTTGGTTCAGCTTGTTCTCAATCCATCTCTTGCAAAATGTGGGTGTATCCTGCCTGGCAGCCACTGGTTGGCTTTTAGAATGGTTACATCCGTTGAGCACACGCTCAGTATACCATAGGCAATTGACAGCGTTAATGGGCGGGATTACAGTTAAGCCATTGAGTAAAATATATTTTAATGACATAAAAACATAAGTATAATAAAAACAATCAGGTTCTTCAGTTTTATAAAGAGTTTTAGCACAGCATAGTTTTAGGAACAGTATATAATTGAGATATCACTTTTTTAGTGTTATTTTATATGGATATCGGCTTTCGTAAAACCACTAAATTCTTCTTCTTCATTGTCTTCCTCAAAAATATGTAGAATGTCTGCTACCTCAAGTCCAGGGACGTTTTCGTCGGTATAATAAATGTCAATGTCATCTTAAGTATTGTCTTCGTCGTTGTCTGCTTTTTCAACCACCGGCCCTTCTTTTAGTTGCTGGCTCCTTTTCAACCACCGGCCCTTCTTCTTTTAGTTGCTGGATCCTTTTCAACCATTTCGTCCCATAAAAGATCGTCCTCAGTTCCATCCATAGCATTGGATATGCAACACTTCTTAAATGATTTAATAATCATTTCAGGATTAATAGACTTCCAAGCCTCTACTATCCAAGTTCAGATAACATTTAATTCTGGTTTTCTTCTTGCGCCGCCTTTCGTATATGAGTGTTCGTCGCCTGCCATCCAGTCGGACCACAGCTGTCTCGGTTTTACTTTCATAGGTTTATTTATGGAGACATCTAAATGTTGTAGCATGCTGGTCAGGAATTATGACTAAATCGGTAACGTACTTTCTCTTTAAGTCTTTCTTTACCCAATCAGATCAATGGCATCTAAAAGCATCTAATACTAGAAGGCACGCGAGTTATTGAAATCACATATAAAACAGACTATTCTAATGTTCACACACACAAGTTATTGAAATCACTTATAATACAGACTATTCTAATGTTCACACACAAGTTATTGGAATCACTTATAATACAGACTATTCTAAGGTTCACACACGTGAGTAGAAACGCGGAGTACTATCGTTGAAGCCAACTGTAGGGACAGCTACGAATTATTTCCCTCTTCTTTATTCACCACATCATTCTTGTGGCTAACTGTAGGGAGGGACAAAGATTATTCCCTCTTCTCCCAGTTGTGCCAAATTTATTTTTTTTCGGTAATTTTTGTTTTGTAGATTGGAAATAATATTTGAAGACAAAAATCCATCATTATTTTGGATAGAAATAAAAATTGTAGCCTCTGGGTGACATTTTATTGCCATCCCATCATAGGTACTTTATGCATTGTGTTATGGTTTGTTTGATCACAACAACTACAAAACATACACGACAAAGTATGCATGGGTAAAGAGATGCCTAATAAATGTACTGACAGCATTTTTATTCAAATTTTTATTACATTATTTTACAAAATGGAAGAAAAACGCTAACTTAAATCATACATGCACACACACACACACACACACACACACACATACGTGTATATGGTGTCGAACGGGGACGTGCGTCTCAAGCAGCCGAATGCGGACTTTTTTATTTAAAGGTCTATGCCAACGATGTTTGAAAGGCATTATCTCTGATCATTTACAAGTAGCCATAGCAACTTGGATTACCAGTACATGCAATTTCACCAAATCCGTATTTTGTTGTCAAACTGGGGACACACCTCAACACACCTTTCATCAACCCCTTCGTTAGGAAATGGGGACTCACCAGCACATGTGAAAGTTAAGTCAAACGAGGACTGCCTACAAAATCCAGCAGGCATATAGATTTGCCAAAGAAAGTGCTCCTACTTTTGCCTGGCGATATGAGGCTTTGTGGTTTTCTAAAACACTAAAATAGTGCATATGGAGAAACAGGTGATTGGCTGGAATTTGGATTAGGCTACAGGAGCATTTTCTACCAACTCCATTATACCTTTGTCATGTTTTGGGCTTTATACCAATAGGACTAGATTTTGTCCCCATTTGGATAGGATAAACCAGGAGGGTCAATGAGACTTACCATATCGTCGAACGGGGACGACTCGTTTTGTGATGACGGGCCACATATTCGTATTCAATTTTGTCTCTTATTGTCTTGGTCATAACCTGTCTTCATAAAGACAATATCTCACATCCAGATATACTGACATGCATGTATATTCGTATTCAATATTGTCTCTTAATGTCTTGGTACAACCTGTCTTCATAAAGATAAGATGTCACATCCAGATATACTGACATAATATTAGTATTCAATTTTGTCTCTTAGTGTCTTGGTCACAACCTGTCTTCATAAAGATAAGATGTCACATCCAGATATACTGACATGCATGTATATTCGTATTCAATTTTGTCTCTTAGTGTCTTGGTCACAACCTGTCTTCATAAAGATAAGATGTCACATCCAGATATACTGACATGCATGTATATTCGTATTCAATATTGTCTCTTAATGTCTTGGTACAACCTGTCTTCATAAAGATAAGATGTCACATCCAGATATACTGACATAATATTAGTATTCAATTTTGTCTCTTAGTGTCTTGGTCACAACCTGTCTTCATAAAGATAAGATGTCACATCCAGATATACTGACATGCATGTATATTCGTATTCAATTTTGTCTCTTAGTGTCTTGGTCACAACCTGTCTTCATAAAGATAAGATGTCACATCCAGATATACTGACATATATTAGTATTCAATATTGTCTCTTAGTGTCTTGGTCAAAACTTGTCTTCATAAAAATAAGATGTCACATCCAGATACGGTAAAATTCCCTCTGAGCTGTCGCTTGGTAGCAGTAATGGTGCCTCCTTTCTAAGACCACAAACAACACTTATAATAACCCCTTACTATTGAAATGGTCCTGTTCTGTCCCAATGATGAAATAATCATGAAAATCTAGCTTCTAACTAATTCATTAGACTACATACCTGTAGTTTTCGTTAGAGGCGCAACTGCTACCATGCGACGTCTCAGAGGGGATTTTACAGTATATTGAGATATAATCGCAGCCGAATGGGGACTTCTTTATTTAAAGGTCTATGCCAACGATGTTTGAAAGGCATTATCTCTGATCATTTACAAGTAGCCATAGCAACTTGGATTAC